ACGCAAACTCGCCGACTCGCATTACTACACGCTTCGTCATCCTCTCCGGAAAGGCTGACGCCCTAAACGAGGCTATAGCCGACCGGAACGTGCACGGCCAAGAATCTCAAGTACGGGAGGACGGCCAGACAGCTGGACCTGTCCGTCCATCCCTACGTGGGTCAAGAGGACGTCGGCGACGTCTACAACCCGTCGTCGTCACCGTCGTGCAAGTTGCCATTGACGCAGTAGTCGTCGCGAAAGTTCTTTAGGGACGGAAGGAAACGAGTGGTCGAGAGACGAATCCGAAGTCGCTCCTGAAGAGGAACGAGCCTCGAGGGGTGGCCCGGAATATTTGACAACATGTTTCCCTAGACGATCGTCCGGGAGGAATCTTGCCAAGATACATACGTACATGTATGTGTACGTCTTAGGATTTGCCATCTGTTTCGAACGCGAGTTCACTCTCTCGTGTCATAAATATCGAAGGATAACAAGCTTCTGGCCATCGTTCTCGAGCGAATGGAATTAAAGCGCCTCGCTGTTATCGTTGGATTGTCGTTGGGAGAAACGAATGACGTTCATCACACGCCTGTTTATCGCGGGTTTCACGGTATATTCAGCCACTATACGGATGTCTTACTATTCATTAGACTGACAGTCGCTAAAAATCACCGACCAGCCACATTTCTACACACGCGTTTCTACACCGAGAAAAAAATATCGAAAAAATAAAAGATATTGAAATAAAAGATATGCGCAATTTTCGTAAGAGTAAAGAAGTTAAATAACAAGTTGATATACATGAAAATGATATAAATAATGAATTAATAACTACTGATTGACCCAAGTATCAAGCTGCCAATGTTATTTCTTTTTTGAACACGCTCGCACTTTCTGGATCAATTAACGTGAGGAATGCGTAGCTAGGAACAGATGCTGACTGAAAGTTTTTAGTGGCTATCGACCTATCGATAGCAGACTATTAACCCTTGCGAACAAACCGACGCACCTATAGCGATTCGGCCTCGCGTATATCTGATCTGTGCGCAAAGTTATCGAATGATTCAACTCTAATCGCAATCACGCGATTGAACGTCCGAAAAAACCGACGAGCCATCGTCGTTGAGGCTAATTAAAAGTCCAAGGACTTCGAATAGCGACCTATTACTCTCGCGAGAGATATTCCGAGGAATATTCCGTAATCAGCTTTGCGCGAACAAGAGACCGAGCCGCGAGATGAAACGTCACTATCGGAAAGATTCTGTCGATGTTTTGCTAATACATTTCTAAAAGGTGTAAATGTCTAATTTCAATAGTATCTAGGCACCTTCACTTATTGATATCGTCGGTGCAATCGATATCACATTGTTAATAAAAGCATTCTAATTATACACTGTAAAAACTAATGTATTAAATTTAACATTTTATATGTCTCAAATCATCCACTCTCATTTACGTGTAAATTTAACACAAAACAAATGTGTTAAAAAGTAACACGCATAATATGAAAAAAAATTAACACAAGAATTTAACACTTGAATACCGTTAGGAACCACAGGTTGTGTTAAATTGACATATTTAATATGTCAAACAAAGATTATGTCAATTTAACATTTTCATTTCATCAATACCATAGATTAATACTTCTTTCAAATGTTAAAGTAACGTTTTATTTTAGTTAATTTAACATTATACAGATGTCAATTTAACACAAACTGTGATTCCTGACGGTATTCAAGTGTTAAATTCTTGTGTTAAATTCTTGTGTTAATTTTTTCTATATTATGCATGTTACTTTTTACCACATTTGTTTTATGTTAAATTTACATATAAATGAGAATGGATGATTTGGGACACATGAAATGTTAAATTTAACACATCAGTTTTTACAATGAATAGGGAAGACCTGGGGCTGTTTGGCTACCGGAGTAAACTAACAAAATCAATTATTTCTATTGTTCTTTAACAGATAACAAAATCAAGCAAGAGCAAGGATTTCAAAACCATTTTTTATATATTTAGAAATTCTGTTTGCTCAATTTTGTAACTTAAAAAATATTAGAAATAACCGGTTTTGCCAACTTATTCCGGTGACCAACTAATCTCCGATCTCTCCCACATGATGTGTACCGGTAGGTATTATCAGATATTCAAACCCCCTTGACTAAAAAGACATAATTAAAAATTAATGGAATTAAGTTGTTTTTCATATTTAGACACCTTTGTTCATTGATATCGTCGGTGCAATCAATATCACGTTATTAATTAAATTATATTGTAAATTATATTATAAAACACATGTATTTTACAATATATGAACAATATATTTTACAATATATTTACAATATATACAACAATATGTATATATATGTACGTATAATACGATATATGTACAATATATGTACAATATATGTATTTTTGTAAATATGTATGTAATTATATTGTAAAAAATATATTGTAAAAGCATATTAATAACTTGCGGTACATTGGCAAATATTAGAAATAAGCAATTATTAGATATTCAAACCTAACCAGGAAGACATAATTATAAATAACAGAATTCAATAATTTTTCATATATATAAAGTTATATATAAGAGTTATATATCAATAGAGTTCACACATTATATTTATAAAAAATAATTGAACTTAACAACCAATGCGATTTATATCTAATTGCATGCACTACGTAATAAACTGAAGAAATTATTTTGTTGTCAAAACGAAAATTTGGTACACTGAAACGCAACTTGATTAAAATGGGATCAACCAGATGTTTGGTATCCAAATTTTATTGCCGCTATATGCGTTTTGTTTTCTCAGTAATATATGTGACACAAGTAAAGACATGACAATGCTAACCGAATCGTGTATGTGTGTGTACCAAGTCTTTTAGTTCTAAGTACAAAAATAATGTTTTCAGTGTAAAATTGAAGCTTCGTGAGCTTTCATAGTTGCACGCTCACCATTTTGCGTTGATATCCCGCGATGTTCAGTCGCCCTGTTCGTCAAGGAAACCCCATCCTGACTGCTTCGCGATCCAATATCTGTCTAGCCTCCGTAACATCTCGCTGCCGTCTCACGTTGGTCACTTTCTATTCTCTTCATTGCATATTTCACTCGCGACCGCGATCATTTGAACAATGTTCAGCGATTTAACGGTAAATACGCGATAAATTTAGGTGTTTTGAAAACGTGTCTGTAAGTCACCGACCGTGTGTAAACAATCGCGTGTGCCGAACGCTCATTACGTTGTTGAAAGAAAGTTTAGAGAAAAAAAAACATCGCGAACGTCTCGCGGACGTTTGATGCTTCGTCGACTAACGAGGCTCTCTTTGCGGAAGAGGCTTAATTTAAAAAAGAAATGATAAATATGCGCATTAAATTTAACACTATAAAAGTTTTATCAAACTTATTCACGATGGGTTGTAATGTCGGCACATACTCGCGCGACAGGTATCGGTAACGAGAAATGCGAGGGTAAAATTCGTGAACGAAATAAACACGATACTAGTTGAAGACCGATCGCAAGATTCATCGACGCGGCATACAGACGAAGAATCGCAAGTGGCATGAAATTCTCACGCACTGTGGCCTCGCGACGTTTGTGCGAGAAATACTTTGCAATATTGCGCAAAGACTGCTTCACAATATCTCTGCGAAGTTAGCTTCCGTAGTATCTCTAGAATATTTTCACGAATTGCCGATAAACTTTTTGTTTTTTTAAAGACGAAAATAAAAAACCGCGCACACAAGTCACATTTAGACGTGATCACTCTTGCAGTTTCTCTACAACGAACGTGACTGCACGAACGCGTGAACAAACAAAAAACATTAACTATATTCTCATGACAAACATTAACTTTATTCTCATCGTATCATTTTTACGAAGAAATACTCGATTGTATCGTGTTTCGCGCAGGAAACTACGTGAAAAATTAGAAAGAAAATCCTGACTATCATGAAATCTGCGCGTTCACCGCGATATGTAAAATCGTTACGTTGCAAAATTTGCCTCTGCGATATCGAGTGTAACAAGTCTGGTATCTATTTACGTAATTAAATTGCGTACGTAGAGAAATGTACGTAGAAGAAATTTAGAAAAGAACTAATGGCCGCGGTCTAACCGTGAGATCTATCGATGCAAACCGCCAAATAATCGTAAATTCCGCGAGTGGTGGCGCAACGCTGATGCGCATTATGTACCGCAAAAAACAATTGAGGAATCATATTCTGTTAATAGTTATGCCGAATAATTCTATAACCTTAACTGAATAAGGAAAAATTTATAATATATATATACACATATAAATGTACTTATATATTAATTATATAAATATATATAATTAAATATTTTTGAATTATAATGTACAATATTTTATACTGTAATGTATTTTACTGTAATATTTTATACTGTAATGTATTATACTTATATAAATGTACTTGTGTAATAATACAGACATTTCAGGTGATTCCCTAATTGTTTTAAGCAATATATTTCGTACAAAGAGACATACACAACATGCAGAAATCTACAATCAAAGTAAATCGCATTGGTCTGTTAAGTTTTATAAATACATTGAGAGGAATATATCTAAGAAATAAAAAATATTTATTCTGAGTGAATATGGATAAGAAATGTACTTATATTATTTTTCAAAAATGATTTTAATTTTAAACATTATTTTTTTAAGAAAATATATAAATTTTTTTAAACTATTACTCAAAAATGAATAAAAAATTTATTTATACTAATAAAAGATATTTTTCAAAAAAATATATAGATATATAGATTTCCTTAAAATCTTAGCTTTTCAACAAAAAATTTGTTTATTCTATTAAAATAATTATATATATATATATATAGTTAATAAAATTTTTAAATAAAATATTTAAATTTAGATAAACATATTGTTAGTGCCCACCGAATAAATTTGTTCTTTTTGTTTTTCTCTCAATGTACGCACATAAAAATGGAGCATTTTATTACCCTTTGATTTGTAAACTTTTTTTACTCACCAAAACATCGCCAACTTATGTCGGTCTTGTTTCGATTTCGATTCTGTAACAGAAAGATAGCGTTACCGATTAGATCTAATAGGCTAACTTAATGAATAAGTGTTTATAAAGTGGCTTTTTGCGATCGTAATTCAACGATGTTTACTTCGGAAATTATATCTTAGTTTTCGATTGCAAAGAGCAAAGAGAACAAAAAATAAACAAAGTGTATACAAACCTTCGAGCCGACTCTGCATGGCCCGAACCGAATCCTTCGGTGCTGCATATCACCGAAATTACAAACGTTCTCACCACGTCAAAAAGCTTTACCCAGATTTGAAACAGAAAATATTTCCCTAATTAATCACAATAATAGAGAAATCTCGAGCTAACCGACAAGAACTCCGCATCAATCAAGTAGTATCAATAGATTCGACTACAGTTATACTTGAGGATATATTTCTCTCTTATATGCAGTAAAATTAAAATACGATAATCACCCTTGAATTTCAGAACGCTCACATTACTCACGATGATGCTAGCACGACGATCGTACTCGCGAAGCGACGCAATTTATCTTACGAACGTTGCGATCAATTTAACAACGTCGAAAATAGCGAAAAATCACGAAACAATGAGATAGCGCGCAACGCGTACGACGCTTTCACTTAGGCGTCGAAGACTGTAATGGGAGGGGGAGCGCGGCGCGCGTACCTACATGTGCTGTTGACTTGAAGGTCGCGCGACCTTCCCGACGCGCGACGGGCCGGCCCGGCTAAACATTGTCGCGCGATACATTCCACTATTTCACATAAACTACACATTTCACGTGCTCTACATTATAGTATCGATATTTTACTACATCACAATACTGAATTATTCACCGCGCGTTCCGATAGAATGTTCATCGTATTTTATATATTATACATCCGTAAATATCTCAAAAACTAATAAAAAAGAACAATCAGGTTTGCATCTTTATTAATAATTAGTGAAATTATGAAGGGAATTAACGTTTATATAAAACTCTAATTTGTCAGCGAAAAATAATAATAATAAAATAATCAATAAATATATAGTTTTATAATGATATATTAGATAATACTAATTGTGCCAATTCTGAAATTCAAGGATAATTATCATATTTTAATTTCTGCATATAAGAGAAATATAATCAAGTATAACTGTAGTCGAATCTTATTTCATTGATGCAGAGTTCCTGTCAGTTAGCTCGAAATTTCTCTTTCATTGTGACTAATTAGCAAAAATATTAGCAAATATTTTGTTTCAGATCTGGGTAAAAGATCTGGATGTTTTAATGACTGAAAAATAAATCGTGTCCTAATTACTGAACAATATAAACTTAATAATTAAGTGGTCATTAAATAATATTACATATTAGCATAAATATCTTTTCACAAAATTTCAAAGACTTCTTTAAATACATTAAAGTATATATTTAATGTTTCAATCATTGGAACAAGGTTTAATTATTGCATTAGATATCACACAAACATTTATGTTTCTTTGATTATTAAAATCTAAAGAAAAAAATCGTGGACAACATTAAAACTACTATAGATCTATACTGCTGGAAATATATTAATTAGAAGAGTAAAACAAATCTGTGAATTTACCTTGGTCGTAATTTTGTTCAAAAGTTTGAACCTCCAATGTCATGTGCGCAGATCCATATACACTAGAACGCAGCAGCTTCCGCAGTATATATAATTACAAGCTCCACCAGATCTAAAATAGAAAAATTGTCTTAATTAGTCACAATGGCAAAGAAATTGCTTGATTTCGAGCTCGACACTCAGTAGCATATTTTTTCCTTTCTACTTGATTATCATTGAATTTCTAATTTCCTATTAATAAATCTCATGATCATCTAATTCTATTGTTATTTAAATGAGTCGATGACTTACAAAGTGTAATGAGGAGGGGGAGGAAACGTCTGTATGCCCAGGCTCGATTTCCCAGCGATGTACCAGAGTACACTCTCCACATTTCTTGAAGTGAAACTTCACTCATGCAATATAAGATGACAGCCGAGTCGTTTGAATTTGAATGATTTTTCACTCCTATGGAGTGAATGTCTTCGCTAACACACCGATGCTTCACTTCCCGAGATTCGACGTTGCCAGTAGCACTAAAATCATATTTTTCCCTTTCCCTTTGATTATCATCGGATTTCTAATACCCGGCTAGTAAATCTGACGATCGTCCGATTCTACCATTACTACGAGTGAGTCGAGATAGTGACCGCAAGTGCGAAAAACGCCGAGTCGACATGTCACGACATGTACGGATTATTATCGGAAAAATAAGGAGATTACTTTCTAATAACGCACCTGAGATACGTTCCGACGATTGCACATCGTTATCCCGACACTGTCGGACACTTATTTGCGTGCGTGACTTGCTTTTGACAAACTAAGGAGACACAAAACACGGAGCGATATCGATCGATGTCGTAATGGCGGTTGCTCGGTTCAAAAAAATCGAGGATGCGCGCGCAGTTCTTTACGGACATAAATATCGCGAGCGCTCCGCTATAACGACGCCATCTGTAGACTCATTCCGCGTCTCGTTATTCGAGATGTATCAATAGATCGATGGGTCGATAGTTATTGAACATTCTCGATCAGCCACATTCGTTTTTGGCTGCGCATTTTTCATCACTATGTTATCAGAAAACGTGTTCCGGCCTCCTGGATTAATCAACATTTACGATAAATGCCTAGATACAAATGCAATTGATTGAGAACTTTTGATAACTATTGATTCATCGATAGCAACACATCCGTAGGACTGAGTGATGACGTTTAATTAACATTAAATCAAACTTGACGTAGGAATAGTGAATTCTAGCAGTGCATGCTACGAAAATAAGTGTCGGAGCAATTTGCTCTTTTAAACAATGTTTCAATTCGACGGAATACATTCGTAACGCGAAAAGATATACACAGGATGAGTCAACATTAGGTTCCAATATTTGTCTTTTTTTTAGAGGAAAATATATGAGGAATAAATCATTATGTAGTTGGAAGAGTTAACTGACCATAATATTTATTCCCTTCCAATTATAGACAATTTATTTCTCGCGCATTTCCTTCTAATATAAAAACAAACAACAGATATTTTAAAATCTAACGCTATTAGGTAATTCGCCCTGCATATAGAGAAATATCGAGTGCTTCGTGCGCATACAGCTCACACAACAACTTTAAACGGCGGATACATCGTGACTATGATACTCCTGAGAACAGCCTGTTCAATGTTGCAAACGATACAGAAACGATATCGCTCCCGGCGCGATCGGTAATGAAACTCGACAAGCCAGCTCTCGCGACGGGACTTTTCGACATGGACGAGATAAAAGTTTACGAACGTTTGACGCTGTAAGCCGGCGGCCAAGCGAATTTGGGCGATCCTTGCGTCACACGCACACAAATCGCTCGTGCCGGTCAAAAGAGATAGAGATAGAGACAGAGAGAGAGAGAGAGAGAGAGAGAGAAAGAGAAAGAGAGAGAAAGAGAGCGCCCATTTTTCACGAGATGCGCCTTTCGTGCGTCAGCGAATTCTCCCACGTTTCGTGAAACATACCGACGTGTCCGGCGCGACTACCATTATTTCCAGCAGCTTTCATTCGTACCGGGACTCGCGCAAAAAGAGACGCTCGACTGGAGTCAAGAGAGTTTACGAAAAAACGAGACCCATTAGCGGCCGCGCTGTGCCATCGATCTTGCTGTAATGGACGTATGTTATTAAACGCTAACATTAACGAGTCATAAGCGATACGTCGGCGGACTCGACGGGACCCGAAAGCCTGAACTAGAAGCGTCACCGGGTATAATTAAGATGCGCTCGCGGTAGTCGGATGCGCGTTAATATTCTTTACCGGAGAGCCTTCAGCCACGCGACAGCTGTAATGACGATGTGTTGTGCGCCTTTAACAAGAGAAAAAAGAGAGAAGGAAAGAGAGAGAAAGACCAGCCGAACCCCGCCCCAACCCTTAACGAAAGTGGAGTGCATTTGCCGTGCCAATCTGACGTACTTGAAGCACGATAAGCACGCGCTCTCGTACCGTTTCGCGGACGAAATAACTCGAACTACGAAGCGAAGATATAAATGCCGGAACGCCGTCTAAAGCACAATTAGCGAAGTTGATGCAACTCGCGCAAGCGCGCACCAAGTGCGCGGAAGTTAAGCCAGACTGCTCCAAGGATTTGGCCGTTTCGCTGTCCGAAATAATGGCGGGCAATAATGAGACGGCGGCGCGATGCACGCGCGAGTCTAGTGCATGAAAATTCATTGACGCGTCGCAAACAACCGCAGCGACGAGAGAACTCGGGGAAGAGACGCGCGCTAAACGAATCCCCGGGTCTTTCCCCGCGGCGTCGACTAACTTCAAGTTTCGCGCAACATCGCTGCCGGAAAATGCGAAAGGACCGCATACCCCGGACGCAATGGAGTCTCGTTACAGAAGAGAGCGAGGATCCAACCGCGAGTTCCTCGCATAATAACGGATTTTGCACTCATTTTCCTTTTACCGCTGTTTACCGGCGCGATCTCTCTCTCTTCTTTCCTTCCTTTCGCTTTGAATAGCACGGTGTTTAATTTCACATGGCCGATCATTTCATTTCACGCTAACGCGCATCGCAATTTATTAATGCGCGTTAAAACGTTTATCAGAGAAAAATCCTGTCCACGCGTCGCTTCGTTGTCTCTGGAACATGCAACTATCCGTCTCGTTGCATACAGTGAACTCCAATAAACCCTACCATTTCCAATTAAAATGTTTCAAATCGGACACATCGCATTTATATATCTTTCGTATCATGACTGTTGGCTTTGTGAAGAATCAGCAACTAAATTACATTAAGTTATGCATGTACAACAGTAATGTTGTATATATACATTCACTTTACTTATCATTGTTGCGTTTAAAGTAATAGTATCAATGTCAGAACATTTACCTAATCCTGAACATTCTTATTGTTTTCTTTAAATAGGAATATTTAAACTTTCAAAACAAAAGATATACATATATACACATGTTGAATATACATACATATTTTATATGATAAAAGTTTAAAAATATCCGTATTTAAAAGCTAAAACAATAATAATCTCTAACACCAGGTACACGGTAAAAAAGTTTTGTGTTAAATTTAATACATTTCACGTATTCCAAATTAACCATTCTAATTTTTGTGTCAATTTAACACAAGATAAATGCGTAAACAAATAATACAAATAATATGTTGGAAATTAATGCAAAAATGTAACACTTGGTCATTGTTGTGTTACTTTAACATTCAGAGATAGTAAATAAACTCAATATAAACTCAACGCAGAACAGTGAAAACACAACGATAATATATTAAATCAATATATATGAAAAATTTGACACAGAAATTTCTACAGATCAATTTCAATACAAATATAAAATATTTTTTGTCGTTTACGTGCCCTGGAATTTGTACTTTTATCGTAATGCGGCTCAGTTCATCTCAAAACCAACAGTCACGATACAAAAATATATAGACGTCATGCAATCGAGCCAAAATATTCTAACCAGAAGTGGGAGGTATTATTGAAGTTCTCTGTACCCATACGAGGAGGGTACGAAGCAGCTTGAAACGCTCAGACACGTTACTCAGTTGTAGCGAAACGCTGTTTCGCTACAAATCGAAACGCTCGCTCATGCTAATGCGCTCGAGGCACGATAAGGACGCGCGCTCTGACGTCTTAAGTACCGAAATATAACCGGCACGCATCCACGTTGGAGGGTGAAACGCATGCGGCGTTTAATTGCTCACGCAATGAGGGCGCATTAGCGGAGAGATACAAGTCGGCCATAACTTCGCCGCGGTATACGTAGAATTCTCATTCACAACATATACGTACGAAAACGATTCGTCCCTATGTTTATTCGTAATGCTGGTTCGTACTTTTCGCTTATTCGCCTCGGCCTCGGATATCGAATCCGTTGCAATTATAATGCGGCTGCAACCGGTTGCTTGTTTTCTCACGTAAAATCCGCGATTTATTCGATATACTAAACGCACACATGGACGCTCACATACATACTCCACACGAGAGAAACGAATAATATATCAATTTGTTATATGTTAAAAAGAGTGTTAGCGAGAGAGAGAGAGAGAGAGAGAGAGAGAGGAGAAAGGGAAGAGAGGAAGCGAAAAAACGATCGATAGCGCGCATAAATTTTCAATTTTAAAACGAAGCGAAACGAGTCGAAAGAATCGCGAGGGGATGATGAATCGTGCACGCAAATCGGGAACATTTGGCGTATTTTTATTTCGCATTTATACGTTTGTTCCGTATCGCGCAACGCGTCGCGCAAAAATTCCGGCTGTTATCGGAAGTTATACATATCGCACACATTGAATCTTACATATCGCAGCCCGAATCGGAAGTGTTCTTGTATTATCTGGCGAGATGAGTTGCTTTCTCTCTCTTTCTCTCTCCCCCTCCCCATCTTTTCTCTTTCCCTCTCTCTCTTTCTCCTTCACAGTGTTACACAGAATGCGCTCGGAAATGTCAAGCCGCGAGCGCAAACACGTGTTGTCAAATAAAATAAAATGTCTTTTCGCGCACAAACGCGTTGTCCAAGCGCGAGATATTATCAAAATTTTCATTACGCCATATCGAAAAGGATATAAGAGAGTCGATACAAACGTCACAGATGACGTACACGTCGACGATAACACGTCGGGTTATATAAAATAGGCCGCGGTCGCGCGACCCAGCGCGATCGCAAAAGCGGGGCGAATTAAATTGAATGAAACGATATCGGGACGCGTGCGATGCACAGATCGGGGCTCGCGCATAACAAGCGAATTAATTCATTTTGCTCTAGGCTAACGCGTTAATGCGGGGTTAATGCCACTTGCGCGTCCCGCGCACGTCCCCGGAATCCGAGTTATCAACTCCCAAAGTCGCTCGCCCGAATTTCCATTCACCGTGCGGCAAAGCCACCGGAAGATCATCGTGTCCTTATCTAACCGAACTTGTCAGCAAATGGAATGCAACACACTAGATGATATCTGTTGCCGTGCTCGCGTCCGCTCGTCGCCTAAACTTCTAGCGATACCTTCCGAGGGAAGCAGAGAGAGAGAGAGAGAGAGAGAGAGAGAGAGAGAGAGAGAGAGAGAAGGGGAGAGAGAACGCCCTTTAAGACTATTGGATAATCAAGTTCTGCTATTCCGAGTGAATGCTTGCTGAATTTGCGCTACGTGCCGGCTCGAACTTCAACGATATTTCAAACGCGCGTTATTGATATTTCAACTTACGAGGTCTTTTTATTGCCTCTACGTATTCCTGTTCAACGTCAGCTGCGATTCCATTGCTCGATTCGCACTTAGCAAATCAGTTAAATCTTCTCAGACATTTGGACAGGAGAAAAATCGATAGAACATGTGAAAAAAGAACCGAGAGAATAAATTGAGCTTGCTATAGTCTATGGGCGGTATTCATAGTCATATATTATATTTAAGATCACCTTAAAAGGATGCTGGATACTAACATAATACAACTTCGTTTTTCACTGTTCTCCTATTTGATTGCGTAGAATTGCAAATGCTCAAACACACAAGTGCACTTGTGCAGAGTGAAGAGAAAAATGTCAATAAATAGCGGAGTAGGCTGTTATATAAAAAATTTTGAAAATATTTTCTACTTATAGGATTCTTTTGTTTTTTCTTTTTCAACATAGGATACTCCATACATCGGCTTTGTACTTTCACTCTGTACATAATCATTTACAATTCTATACAACCAAGTAGAAAACCAGTACAAAATACGAAAACACATTATGTCAGTGTCCAGCATCCTCTTGAGTTCATCTGCAGATACCGCATGGATTATTTCATTGGCAGGATCTAACAAGTGAACCTAAATAATCTTAAATAGTTCGTTCCGGACGCTTTCATGCTAAAAGTATCACTCTATCTTCTATTGGTTTGTAATGAGCTTGAACTTGATCTATAAAGAATGATGTTATCAGCACGAAGACATCCAAAGCAAACGTAGCTTATGAATGCCGACCTATATTTCATACAGATGCTGAGTTTTGATTGAGTGCTAATGAAGCTAATATAGCTAATTAGTATCGTGTTAATAATAAATCGACGCTAAATAATCATAGCACGTTGCGCGTAACTCATTAGATCGGTTCAACTATTTGTTTCAATATGTTTCGTCCGTTCGGGCAATCTTCTTCTCGCGCACAACTCCGTCAGAATCTACGATGCTCAATCGGCGGTCGAAAATACCACCGATGTTATCGGCTCGCAAATCATTCTTATTCGCCGGATAACTGCAGTCAATCCGAAGCAGAGTCATGTTTCTTTTACGTAAAACCAGAAACCCGACCACGCTCTAAATTCAAATCATAAAGTTCGGTAAGAGACCGCCTCGCAGGCGAACGATCGTTCTCTCTCCCTCTTTCTCCCTCTCTCGTTCTCTCTCTCTCTCTCTCTCTCTCTCTCTCTCTCTCTCTCTCTCTCTCTCTGTCTCTCTCTCTC